AATAGTAAGCTTAATTTTTTATTTAAGCTCAACACATCCAAATTAACCAAAACTATGCGAGCTATTTTGATCAATTTAGCTAATCTAAGATGAGCTTCAACCATATTATGTCAACCTGAGCGCCATTCGCTTATGGAACTTTACCTTCCAGTGCACTGGTCCGCTGGTTGTACACATAGCACGGTTCTTCTTTGAACAGAGGTATCTTGCTAGCAGGGGGAGCGTAGTAGTATCTAGGGTCCTTGTAATTCCTCCTCCACGGTGGGTAAACTGGCTTAGTGAGCCCCGGAACGAAATGCATCCTTTCTCCATATGTGACCATCTGTAGTCCAGGGATTTCAACTCTCTCCCTTGGTATTTGTGGTGGGGGGACCTTTGCTGTCAAACAGTGGCTGACACTAAAGTGTCTCTGGGCCTGGAGGTGGATAGCTCCTCCATTAGCTCGCAGCCATTTCAAATGAGTACAAATACTTTTTGGAGAAAATAAAGGAGTAACCGCTTTTAAACACGGTACCGCTTCTGAAAATATATTACTACACATGTTGTTATCCTATGAATTTTAGAGTCTCACAAGTAAAGTTTAGGTAAATCTGACCTAATTCACTCCGTCAGTTTCTGCTGCAGTAGGGCGCGGCCATATTAACGTCGAGAAATGTGACGTTTTTTCTTTATCTTATTAAAGATCAGTGACACCCCCTACTGGAAAGGAGTGCGAGACAAAGAAAATCGCCCAATTTAGTTCCATATATGCACTGCACTGGCAGATGTATAATTTTAGCTTTAAATAGGTCCATTAACAGAAAAAAACTAATGTTAAGAATTTTAATGGGTTAGAGTTTATTTTCACAGATGCCACAGAAATGTTTGTGCTGGAGGGTCTAAACAGGTACTCCAATTGTGCATGACATTTGTTTGCTCCATTTTATCTGTGAACTACTATAGAAGACTGTTGATTTTTTTGTAAAATAAGTTTTGGTAGTATAATATTCTAACAGTGGTATATCTTCGATCAATTAGTAATCACATTTTCCATCCAAAGACAAGTTTGGATGTTAATGTGCTGCAATGTTAATGTAAATTAAATGTTTGTATGATAAAAAAAAAAGTATGTAAATGTGATAATATATCAGTATTAAATTGATAGAACATAGAAATCTAATAAAAATTGGCTGTGAGACATTTAATTGTTACATACCCCCAAAGCAATGCAACGTATTAAACTGATCAACAAATATTCAGCATGACTGATTATTTGTATCTCCTATTGTTACTGTCAGGAGTTAATCTTCATCCATCTTCTTTATGCCTGCCTATTCAAACTTAAGTCGCCACGGGGCTGAAGCCTGTGCTGGCTGTGGTTATTGGGTAAGAGGTGTGCAACACCCTGGACCGGTCACCAGTCATTTACAGGGCCAAAAAGAAACTTATGGCACTGACAACAATGCATACTCCTATGGTCCATTTAGAATAACCAATTAACTATATTTTTAATGTGGGAGAAAGCCAGAGTACCAAGAAAAAACCTTTGTGTATGTAGAGAAAAAACAAGCCAGGATTTGAACTTGGAACTGTTATGGTCCACAGTATCCATTTGCTAGAACTGAATTTCTACATAGATACGATATAATTCAAGATATATAGATATAGATACCCGTGACCCATGTTTCCATCCAGAGGGTCCCTATAGACATTGTAGAGGAGTATTCAATTCAATTCAATTCAATTTTATTTATATAGCGCCACATCACAACAACAGTTGTCTCACAGCGCTTTCCAAACAGAGCAGGTCAGACCCTACTCTGAAGTTAACTACAGAAACCCAACAATTCCCACCGTGAGCAAGCACTAGGCGACACAGGCAAGGAAAAACTTCCTTTTAACAGGCAGAAACCTTGAGCAGAACCATGGCTCAGGGTGGGCGGCCATCTGCCTCGGCCGGTTGGGGGTGAGGGGAAAGAGAGAGCAAGAGAGAGAGAGAGGGCGAGAGAAGGACAGAGGGAGCAGAGAGAGGCAGCCAACACAGCAACACGTAGAATAGATTAAAAATGGCAATGATATTAATGCTAATGATGAGCAGGAACACGGGGGCAGCAGGAAACTCCCAACCACAGATCCAGACTCCACAGCTCTAGGAACACCTGCAGGAAGTGATAGGAGGAGACTCCCAACCACAGATCTAGACCCCACAGCTCCAGAGCCAGGAATATCTGCAGAAAGTGTTAGGAAGAGAGACGAGAGAGAAGGGGGACGAGAAAGCACACGACTACGGGGAAGGGAGAGAGTCCAGTTAGTAACATTGTTAATGGAATGAGGTTGCACCGGGAGGGAGAGAGAGAAAGGAGAGGGCAGCTCGGTGCATCATGATGCATCCCCCGGCAGTCTAGGCCTATAGCAGCACAACCAGGGGTGGACTTACTCTAACTATAAGCTCTATCATAAAGGAAAGTCTTAAGCCTACTCTTAAATATAGAGACGGTGTCTGCTTCCCGGACCCAAACTGGAACCTGGTTCCACAAAAGAGGACTCTGATAGCTGAACTCTCTAGCGCCCATTCTAGTTTTCAAGACTCTGGGAACTGCCAGTAACCCTTCATTCTGGGAGCGCAGTTCTCTGGTAGGGCAGTAAGGTACTAAAAGTTCTTTAAGATAAGATGGGGCCTGACCATGAAGAGCTTTATACGTAAGGAGAAGGATTTTAAATTCTATTCTGGATTTAACAGGAAGCCAGTGCAAAGAAGCCAAGACAGGAGAAATATGATCTCTTTTTCTGGTTCCTGTAAGAACACGTGCTGCAGCATTCTGGATCAGCTGAAGAGTCCTAATGGACTTTTTTGAAGACCCTGATAACAGCCTAGAAGTAACAAATGCATGGACTAGTTTTTCTGCATCATTTTTACACAGGATGCTCCTAATTTTTGCGATATTACGAAGGTGAAAGAAGGCGGTTCTTGAAATTTGCTTAATGTGAGAGTTAAACGACATGTCCTGATCAAAGATAACTCCAAGATTTCTCACAGTGGTGCTGGAGGCCAGGGCGATGCCATCCAGGGAAACTATATCTCTAGATAATGCGTCACGAAGGTGTTTAGGCCCTAGAACAATAATTTCAGTTTTAGCTGAGTTTAACATTAGAAAATTGCAGGTCATCCAGGTTTTAACATCCTTAAGGCACATTTGAAGCTTAGCTAGCTGATGAGTTTCATCTGGCTTGATCGATAGGTATAACTGAGTATCATCTGCATAGCAATGAAAGTTGATAGAGTGTTTCCTGATAATATTACCTAAAGGAAGCATATATAAAGTAAAGAGGATTGGTCCAAGAACGGATCCTTGCGGAACTCCGTGGCTAACTCTGGCATGCATGGAGGACTCATCGTTAACATGCACAAACTGAAACCGATCTGATAAATAGGACCTAAACCAACTTAGAACGGCTCCTTTAATGCCGATGAAATGTTCCAGTCTCAGTAGTAGGATCTGATGGTCAATGGTGTCAAAAGCAGCACTAAGATCTAATAAAACCAAGACAGAGACGAGTCCTTTGTCTGATGCCATTAGGAGGTCATTAGTAATTTTCACCAGTGCGGTCTCTGTGCTATGGTGAGCTCTAAATCCTGACTGAAAATCCTCAAACAAGCTATTGCTATGTAGATAGTCACACAGCTGTTTGGCTACTGCTTTCTCCAGGACCTTGGAGATGAATGGAAGGTTGGATATAGGTCTATAGTTGGCTAAAACATCTGGGTCCAGGTTAGGCTTTTTCAAAAGAGGCTTAATAACAGCTACTTTAAAGTACTGTGGCACATAGCCTGTTAATAAGGACAGATTGATCACGTCTAGCAGAGAAGTACCGACTAAGGGTAGGACTTCTTTAAGCAACCTAGTCGGGATGGGGTCCAAGAGGCAAGTTGAAGGTTTGGATGAAGAAATGATTGAAGTTAGTTGACAAAGATTGAGGGAAGCAAAACAGTCAAAACATATAACTGGTTCTGGTCCCCTCTGTAAATTCTTTTGTAATTTATTTTTTTATTTGATTATTTCTATTTTAGATCTATACATATACATATAGTTACATATGTATATATTTAGTGTGGAATGTTGTTTATATATATATATATATATGTATATATATATACTGTACGTATGTGTGTGTACAGACATGTATATGTATGTATAAGCTGATGCATTTCTGGAGTTGGTAAAAAAAATTATTTCCCTCTGGGATTAATAAAGTATTTTTGATTTGGATTCTGATATATTGGGAGTACACAAACTTTCAGTAAACTTATAAAGTTTGCAAATAATAATGCCTTCTGAATCGATATCGTTGCTTTATCATTAACTTATCGTGGATCCATGTCTGTATCTATAAGTGAGGAAAATAAAAACAACCCTTTTTTCTTGGTGCTGTTTGTTTGTTTTTAAATTTTCATTCACAATACAATTTATACCCATGTTACTCCTACCCAGCCCAACCCAGCAAAAAACTAAACCAAAAAAAACACCTTGGTTCAGAGATACAGGGCAACATTCAGTGTTGTAATTACTGTAACAACTCAATTTGTAGAGTGAGAAATACAAGGTTAATGAATAAAAAAGATGCAATGCAAATTTCAGATGTAATGCAAATTTAAAATGTAATCCATAAAAGCATTCCTGTGAAGGGATTTTTCTTTGGCCTTGTTTTTATCTCTTATCTTTTCCTGTATGTTAGGGAAGCAATAATGAGGAGGAAGATAACAGTTTTTCCCAGAAGCATCCAGCACCAGATTTGAGCCTGCAGACCTGCATGGACACAGATAAGGAAATTCATATTCACTGGATGAGAAAAAAGATATGACTCACAGAATAGAAAAAAAAGACTGTTCTTTAGCACTGTCAGTCTAACTAAATTTGATTTTCATAAATTATCACATTTACAAGGTACAGTATAAGGAGGCTATAATCCAAGGAGACAGACAGATGAGATTGAAGGGGGCCTTCTTTCAGTCTGATATTGAATTTTAGTGGTATTTAATAGAAAACGATTAGTTAATTAAAACTGTTTTGAATCTAGTCTGAGCCATTATAGAACTGAAACTTAAGCTTTTTTGTAACAATGACTAATCCGAATCTTAATTAATCCTCCAACATTTTGCCTTTCAGCATGTACATCAACACACAGTAAAAACAAACAACAACTACATAGTAAATCAAAATTATCTGAAAAGAAACATTAAAAATATGTGCTTTCACCTCTTGCACCATTGTGCTGATGAGTGCCATTACAAGTGGGGGCACTGGTTGTGGTCAGGGTAAATGTTTTTGTCAACGTATCTGAAACAATGTTAGTTAAACATCAGTTAAAAGGTTAAGGTTAGAAAACCATATGTTCATGTTGACTTACACATCTAGACCTAAACTTTAAAAAAAGACTGGAAAGTCAATTGCTTTTTCTCCAAGCACATCAACTGATATCAGATGAACAATTAGTTTGAACAGTAAAATACATTGCTACATAACAATATGGATATGCCAGACCAAAGTGAGTCTTTTAGAATTG